GTCTACTCTCCAATATATAAAAGTGAGAGAGAAATTTTTTATTAAGTTTTGTATAAGAAAAAAGAGGAGTTTTGACACAGCTGTAAGTTGACCTAGACTGGGTCAACTTTAGTGGGTGATTAGGGTTCTGCTAAGATGATAGATCCTTGAATTATTTGGAATAATGTGATTTTATCTAGTCTAAATAAACAAAGATAAAGGTCTAATATAAATCATGCTTGGCCAAGGAAAAAACATTTAAATGAAATGTAAATGTATGAGTAAACATATAAAACAATATTTAAGAAAAAGTTAACATTCAGAATATTTATGCAATTATATAATCACCAGTAATGTAAAAACAATGACAACTAAAGAAAGTGAATTAATAAAGGAACAAATAAATAATGGAATAAATTAATTAATAAATGAATAACTAACAAGTGCAAAGATGTAATGTGACTGGAATTGTCAAAGTCAGCTTGTAGCCATGACAAAGTGTAAAGGTACATGGAAATGGTGTTTTACTACTTACTGAGACATACCCTGTGAACTATAAATTCCACTCCTAGGTGGGAAGAGTTGAACACAGAACCCATTCACCTGGCTCTCTCATTTGGGAACTGTGCAAAAAATTAACTTTTTCTTTCCCCTCAAATTTTATTGCTGCTTCCAAGAACACTACCCCTCTACATTCATACCATCATTGTAGACTTGTAGCATATGAACCCCTCTACTGCTCAAGTTTTTCTTTTTTTTATTGCTCTTTTTCTCCCTACTCGCATATAATCCACCAATACTTATTTTGTAATGCAAAAGCTACATACTCGGCAATCTCCAGTCTTACATCTTACTATATCCATTTCCTGCCTTGTGCATGACAATTTTGAGATCCCCTCCATCAAGACATCAGTAGTCCAAAGTGATCAGAATTGGGGGTAAAATATGCAGAATATTAGAAGTCAGTCACACACTAAGAAAGCTATAAAAAGTGGGCTTCATTTTAATGATGAAAATAAAAAGAAAATCTATAGACTTCACTAGTTAAAATAAAGGATCCAAAATTTATGAGTCTCAATAATTTGAATTATACCTGTGAGTCACTTTTTTGGGGGGAAGGATATGAGGACATTGCTAATGAGTTTAAAGCTCAAACTGTTTTTTATGAGACAAAGAACAGAAAAGTTAAAAAAAATATTAAAATTGTGATATCATTTTCATAAATAAAAATATAGACATTTATTCAAAAATTGCTTTAACCTTATAAACAGTTATAAGTGTCAATGCACTTTCCTCTGGGATATGTCCTAGTATTGAAAGAAAACTTTGCCTTAAAATAACCACATTCACTGACATAATAATAATAATAATAATAATAATAAGTGATGTGGGGAGGATTTCAGGGTTGTGAAGCATACCTGTAATATAAGTTACTTGAAAAGCCAACATGGGAGAATTTTATACACTGTCTGAAGACATATGTATAAATTATATATAAAAATGTTTATGGGTTCTGTAGTGAAGGGGCACAAGTCCAATACACAGTCTTTATTTTTTTTTTTTTAATATTTTTTTTTTGTAGATGGACACAATACCATTTGTAGTTTGTTGGTTAGTTTTTTAATGTGGTGCTGGGTGTTCAACCCAGTACCTCACCCATGCTAGGGAAGGGCTCTACCCAAAAATCCTTTACTTAATTTTTTTGGCGGGAGTGTATGTGTGTAGTGCAGGGGATTGAATCCATGGCCTTATATAAGCAAAACAAGCTATATCCTCAGCCCTGATCTGTAGTCTTTTAACAATGACAGTGGAGCAGCCTGTCATTCAGCCTTTGATTCTGCACCCACTTGGCTCAGGTTGGAGGCAGTGCCTGAAGCCTTGACCAATCAGTCTCTTAGGTGAGAATTGTCCAATCCTCATGCAGCTGGTAATGATGGGGAGGGCTTCCACAATCTTCTGTTTCCTTCCCGTCTGGAGCCCGCCATTTTTTTTCAGTCTTTTTGTAGGCTTTCTTTGCTGGATCCAGAGCCCAGGTGTCTATGATATGCAGAAACTGAAAACAAATCACAGGAAGAATGCTGAGAAGACATTTGGTATTTGTTTTTTAGGGATTGGCTAGCTTCACTAAGCATAATCTGCTCTAGTGCCATCCATTTCCCTGCAAATTCCATGATTTTGTCATTTTTTAGTGCTGTGTAATACTCCATGGTGTATAAATGCCACATTTTTTTTATCCATTCATCTATTGAAGGGCATCTGGGTGAGGGGAATGGGAAAATAAACAAGGAGAGAAATGAATTACAGTAGATGAGGAAGAGAGAGAAGATGGGAGGGGAGGGGAGGGGGGATAGTAGAGGATAGGAAAGGTAGCAGAATACAACAGTTACTAATAGGGCATTATGTAAAAATGTGGGTGTGTAACCGATGTGATTCTGCAATCTGTATTTGGGGTAAAAATGGGAGTTCATAGTCCACTTGAATCTAATGTATGAAATATGATATGTCAAGAGCTTTGTAATGTTTTGAACAACCAATTAAAAAAAAAGAGAGAGAGAATGCTGAGAACCCTGAAAGCTAGGAAATGGTAAGTGTGCCTTGTTATCTTGAGACTGGGTAGGAAGGTGGCTTAAACTGACAGGAGTGGCAATGGTGGAAACTGGCAGTCATGGCTAGGGATTCCTCATGGTCCTCTCCAGAGTCTTGTGGCCAGAGGGTCTCTCTGTGGTAGCTTAGCCTTCACCTCCCACTGACCAGTATAGTGAGGCTTATATCGGCAGGTGAAATCCTGAGCATTTTTGTTCCATCATTGTAAGGTGTTTTCAGCTTCTTTCTAAAGCCCTTTGTGAGCTTCCATGTGCCATAAGTCCAGCATGTCTCCAGATTGTGTAGTAAAGACTGAGATAATTATCAGGAGAGAACCCCAAATCCATTTGTTGTAATCATGCATGAGATAGGCTGTTGATTTTAGGGCTTGTTACTCATGAGGGTTTGTTTGTTTGTTTGTTTGTTCATTTATTTATTTAATTTTTTTTTGTGTGTGTGTGTAATCTTATATTTTACCTAATTATTTTGGTAATGGCTGTTTGAGGATAAAATGCCTATTCAATGCAGATGACCAATTTTGAGTATTTAACTTGATGTTGTATACTGAACACATTAAGTGTAAATAAAACAATATTTAATGCATATTAATATGAGGCTAGATCTTTGATTCTGTTTTAAAAGGCAAGTATTAAGATACAATTTTCTCACTCAACAAATCTTATCCAAAAGGATTATGAGAAATTTCATGATTTAAAACTGTATCTTATTGATTAAAAATTGTGTAAAAAGATGATATATAAAGGCAGGGGAATTATCCATCTTTAAACCAATAGGGCCTCTAGGAGCAGATCATGCCTGATTTCTTTCCTTGCTCTCTGCTGGAACTGACTTGGCAGTTTCATTTTTTAGATTCATTCCTGTTAGCAATTTTTTTCTTTTGTTTTGTGTTGTGCAATAACTCATTGATAATAATAAATATTTTGAAGTGAAAAATTCATTATACTTCTACTTTGTAATTTGTTTTCTATATTTCTTATTTTCTATTTTGATTAATGATTTAATTTCTGGATCATTGCTTTTTATTGTGGCATGCTTGGATTCTTTTCATTCAATATCTCCCACTTCTCTTTATATATCCTTTAGGTTTTTAATTTTTACAGTATTTCATAGACTTGTCTTAAACTTTGTCCTGCTTGATAAGCCTCTCCCATATTGGTAGAGTTTCAGCTTTGCACACTAGGAATGATCCTCTCATTTTTTCCTAAAGAATTATTCACATACTCAATTTGTGATTATTTATATTAATATTTTTGTCTCAATTTCACCCTCCAAACTTTCTATAAATAGTTATTTAGTGTTCTTTGAGTAATTCATAACTGCCAGTACCCTAATTTTCAGTTCTTAATTTTGTTTTTATTTTTTGTCACTTGGATTAAGCCATGCTTCTCTTTGTTTATATTTGCTGTATTATTTTTATTTGTTCATTAAAGGAGCCAACAGTAGATTATATAGTCCATTTTGGGAAAAAAGTATAAAAACTTTTAAATAAATAAAAATAGGCAAGAAAAGTGCTGCATCCTTGTAATATTTGCTAATTCATGTTTAAGGGAAGTCATAGAAATTTAGAAACAGCATGACTCAAACAATGTTTAAAAGACTTGTGTTGTAGTTCAGTGATATAGTATTTGGGGAGTTAATCTCAAGCACCACACATAAAAAATTAAAAGTTGGATGACATAAAGATTCAGAAATGCCAGTGCTAAATATGTATCCATGAAAAATTAAATCACAAAATTGAAGAGATACCTCTGCTTTTGTGTTTAAAGCACACATTGTTCTCAGTATTAAAGCTAGGGACTCAATATATGTACCCATCAATGATCAAATGAGTAAAAATATTGTACTTATATACTATTATTATTTAGTTGTAAAAATATTTTGTCTCTTAAAGTGTTATAAGAAATATATGCACGACTTTGCATTAAGTGAAATGTAGTAAGCAGAGATTAAGTTGCACGAGCATTTGATTCACATGTGGAAGTCAGAAATTTAGTGAGTAAAATTTTGCTCACCAGGTACTGTGTTTTTTGTAGGGTTGATATTATAGTCAAATTCACATATTTGTATTTTATTGAGCATTAGAGGGTCAAGAGTTTTGTTTTACCACATGGTGAGTGTATTATGTTCTTCATAAATGCTAATAGAAGGAATACAATACCTTGTAAGAACAAAACTGATAATTATATAAAATAATGATTGTGTTAATTTATTCTTTTTTGTGTTAATTCATTATATTTTGTCATTTTACCTTGTATATATAGTATAAAATACCATGATATATTTAGGAAATAAACAAACGTGTATTTGTCGATGAAAGAAATCATCATATCACACGAATTTAAAAATATAAAAATCAATTTATTATACTTGATATGCATTGATTGGTATTGATTTTTTAATATTTTTGTTTATTTCAGCCATGACTCCTCATGATACCCAAGAATATTCACCAGAGAAGGGCATAAAACATATATTTCAGAAAGTGATAAGTGGGAAATATAGAAGTTGTGATCTTGACTATTTACAGCAAAAGAAAATATGGAAAAC